AGAGTGCTGTGTGTGAGGGTGATGTGTGTGAGAGTGCTGGTTGTGAGAGTGATGTGTGTGAGTGTGTGGGAGGGTGCTGTGTGTGAGAGTGCTGGTTGTGAGAGTGATGTGTGGGAGGGTGCTGTGTGTGAGAGTGATGTGTGTGAGATGCTGGTTGTGAGAGTGATGTGTGTGAGGGTGCTGTGTGTGAGAGTGCTGTGTGGGAGGGTGCTGTGTGGGAGAGTGATGTGTGGGAGAGTGCTGTGTGGGAGAGTGCTGTGTGTGAGAGTGATGTGTGGGAGAGTGATATGTGGGAGAGTGCTGTGTGTGAGGGTGATGTGTGTGAGGGTGATGTGTGGGAGAGTGCTGTGTGGGAGAGTTCTGTGTGTGAGAGTGATTGTGTGTTGGGGGGAGGCAGATTAATGCCTATATAAGAATTTAGCCTGGGGGTGGGGGGTTGCGGGCACTCTCACACCATCCCTGGTGGTGCTCTGAATTGCAAATATAGATGGAATCCAGTGATTTTTACCAAGATTGTTCAGACTTTGTAAAAACTGCAAAGTTCAGTGGGAGTAGTTCAGGACATCCAATGTAGGCTCAGGCAAGCTGTCTCTGTCCGTGGTGCTGAACTCCAGGCTTGTATTTGCTGTGGAGTTTGGCAGTGGGGGGATTATTATCATTTAATCATTACACATTGTGGTGAACTGGAAACCAAACTGCAACATTAAGACTAAAACTGCAATGCAAAATATAGCACATTAATGGGACATATGATAAGACCGGTAAAGATGTACCTATGGCTGGAGTGTCCCCAAATCACTTTTACTAAGTAGATCCCTGTAAGTCGGTTGTATTGGGTCACATTGCAAAATGACTTTAGTGAATATCTGACTTTGAGATTTTTCACAACTGCTCTTTCATCAGACAATGTGCAAGTTTATTTTAAAATCAGCACAACGTGGTGTTTTGAAAAGAAATCCCTAAGAGGGACTGGGAACATAAGAATAGCAAGCAATGCTTACTGAATTAAAGAAGAGAATGTTGCACTATTATTATTATTATTATGCCATTTATATAGCGCCATCAAATTCCGCAGCGCTTTACAATGGGTGGACGAAAAGACATGTAGTTGTAACCAGACAAGTTGGACACACAGGAACAGAGGGGTTGAAGGTCCTACTCAATGAGCTTACATGCTAGAGGGAGTGGGGGAAAATGACACAAAAAGGTAAGGATAGTATTAGACTAGTGACAGTTGCAGGAGAGGAGTCACTCGGGAGCTATTAACAGTTTAATTGATACGCTTTTATGAAGAATTGGTTTCTTAACGATTTTTTGAAGGTGTGGAGAAAGTGTGAACATCTAACGGAAGAGGGAAGCGAGTTCCACAGGAACGGTGCAGCCCTTAAGAAATCTTGAAGGCGAGCATCAGAGGTGGGAGTATGGACAGAAGATAGACGTAAGTCTTCAGCAGATCGTAAGGGCCTAGACGGGACATACTTTTGTATAAGGGAGGATAGATATGTGGGAGCAGCATTATGTAGAGATTTGAAAGCAAGAACCAGAATTTTAAATTGAGCTCTATATCTTATAGGAAGCCAATGTAGGGACTGACAAAATGGTGAGGCATGGGAGGTGCGGGCAGACAGGAAGATGAATCTCGCCCCCACATTCATTATGGACTGTAACGGCACAAGTTGGGAGCACGTAAAAACAGAGTTGACAACCAGCTTGAAAAAGTTAAACTGCTGATTCCCAACACAGTTCTGAAGGCTGGATAATAGTCCATGGCTTTCCAAATTATATTCCAATAAGGACATAAACAAAACAGGACCATTGATGTGCCTTGAGAACTGGGTTTGGAACTACTGATTTAGAACTTTTTCAAGTGCTTTTCCTCTGTAAATGTTTAATCTCATAGAAGTGGTTATAGTGTCAGGAATCCTTCCACTCAGTGTTAACCCCTTAAGGACACACGACATGTGTGACATGTCATGATTCCCTTTTATTCCAGAAGTTTGGTCCTTAAGGGGTTAAAGGAACACTATAGTCACCTAAATTACTTTAGCTAAATAAAGCAGTTTTAGTGTATAGATCATTCCCCTGCAATTTCACTGCTCAATTCACTGTCATTTAGGAGTTAAATCACTTTGTTTCTGTTTATGCAGCCCTAGCCACACCTCCCCTGGCTATGATTGACAGAGCCTGCATGAAAAAAAAAACTGGTTTCACTTTCAAACAGATGTAATTTACCTTAAATAATTGTATCTCAATCTCTAAATTGAACTTTAATCCCATAGAGGAGGCTCTTGCAGGGTCTAGCAAGCTATTAACATAGCAGGGGATAAGCAAATCTTAATTAAACAGAACTTGCAATAAAGAAAGCATTAATAGGGCTCTCTTTACAGGAAGTGTTTATGGAAGGCTGTGCAAGTCACATGCAGGGAGGTGTGACTAGGGTCCATAAACAAAGGCATTTAATTCCTAAATGGCAGAGGATTGGGCAGTGAGGCTGCAGGGGCATGTTCTATACATCAAAATGGTTTCATTAAGCTAAAGTTGTTCAGGTGACTATAGTGTCCCTTTAAACTATGTTTCATTACTAAATAAGAGTCCCCAGCAGCCCATCCCCTCTGTGCAGCTTGAGCTAATGAGGAAGCATTATCCTGAGCAGCTATGGGTGGCTGTGATTGACTTAGAGTGTCAGCTGATCTCATTCAACCTATCACAGCACCCATTGCTGGTATGAATTACTATGTCTAGAAGGAAGTGTGTAATGTCTGACGTAGCCATGCCACCAGTGGGGGCAGGCCTATGAGTGGTCAGGGGCTCTTAATTAGTATAAATATGCTGGTTTAAAATGGTATTGCACCAGGTGACTCCAAAAAACCCTGGGACGTTGTAAATCCTCTTTAATTAATCAGACTCCTACAATTCCAGCTAAAAATTGGTGAAACTGTTATTCTGTTTAAGTTTTTAGGAAATAACATTTTGAATATTAAATGTAAATTCCAAAATCAAGAAATATATTCTTTGGGTTTTTTTTCTATTATAGTTAATGGGTTTTTTTTGTTTTGTTTTTTTGTATTTTTAAAGCTATTTGAGCACCATGGGAATAAAAGAGAACCTTTACTTTTCTGAAAATTACACCATTCTACAAAATATTGAAAATAATCTATAACTTTTTAAAAACTTTTTTCATGTAATTCTCCATTTCCCTTTAGGCCTATACGTTTTGGAAACTGACATCACAATCAAGTTCATCCCAGGCATAGACAAGGCACAGACAAGGCACACCATGCAAATGAGGATGAGAAATTGAAACATTGTTTTATATCTCCTCTTCTCTGTGTGATTTCTCTATGCTGACTGCCAGGTGCAAATGGCAGAGGCTTTCTTTGCCACTAAGAAAGTAGCTTAAACACTTTGGTGATTTTTTTTCTATAAGAAAATAAAGTGTTTAATTTTAGTTATAAAGCAATATAATGTTGCTTTATTCCATTAGTTGTGTTAATTAATGTTAATAAATAGGCAAGATGCTGTCAAATAGTCAAAACTCTGTATTAGACTGTATGGAAACCTTTTGCAGCTTCTCAATTTTGTCTTACCAACAATTAAAAGATACTGTCACAATTGTAAGAGTCTCTCACACAAACAGTGTATGGAATGAGGAAAATAAACGTATGCTAAGCTATAAAAACAGTAACACAATGACAATATGTTGTTAAGAGCAATTTATGCGCAAGAGGACTTCATTGGTTTGGAGAAATGTAGATTTTTATTATCTGTGTGCTGTCTCCCCCTAGTGTTGATTTAATGCACAGCGTCAATATTTTACATTGAAAACAATGCTCACAGCACTTGACACAGTGTGGGGACTGTCTGCAAATTTGCAAGCCTCTGCTGTATGGGTAAACCTGTTGAACATCACTTTGCAAGATAACAGAGTCTATTAGAGGGGTGCATGCCTGTGTATTACCGCTGCTAGGATGAGATATAATAAAATGACCTGTATGTAAATTAGAAAAAATACACCATAAAAATGTATCATGTACCCCATCTTAATATAAGGCTGCACAGTACGCTGAGTAATATGTTATAAGGATCCTGGGTCTAACTCATATGATGCTCAGCCAGATAAAATGCTGATTGAACATGGTGAAAATTAAAGACAATATACCTGGATTGCCCATAGACTGTCTATAAATGGGATATAGCTACCGTCCTTGTTTGGTAGAAATTGGTAATAGCACGTGCGAGCTTTAGTATTCTATGACAGTGAAAGGGTTAATGGGTAGACCGATTTAATGTACAAGGTAATTCTAACACACGCACACATGTTAATGTACACATTATCTGTAACGAATGCATCAGTGAACAGACTTGTGAAATGTGAGGTTAATAATCTTATTGTAACTAATACATGTACTGCTCACTGGCAGTGCATGGGTTAATACTCAGCCTTGTCCATTTTTTTTTTCTAGATTAATAGATTATTGCACAGTTTTTCCCATCTCTGGCAGTGAATGAACTAATACACAATTGATTGGATTCTTGAGTCGTTGCCTAGTGGATATAATGGCTTACCCGTCTTTGGCAGGGAATGAGTTAAGGCACAGACTAATTTAATACTAATTTGACATCTGATTGTACATAATGTCTTTACTCTACTGTGGTAGTGAAATAGTTAAAGCATAGGTCAACTTTACATCCCATGTTTATATCTTAGATTATATAATATATTTATTCCAGATTTAACCTTCTCTGGGCGCGAATGGGTTAATGCACAGGCCAGCTTTACCCTAGTTTGGCAGAGAAAGTGTTAATGCACATGTCAGCTTTTCCCTTCTCTGACAGTGAATGGATTGATGCGCCTGTCAGCCTCTCCAATCCTGGCAGTGAATGGGTTAATGCAGAGACCAGCTCTATTCTGTGCAGAATTGCATTATGTTGTTCCATTGAATTGGAACATTGTATGGATACAGGTGAAGTCAACATCCCCCCACCAACAAACAGTCACCCCACCCCCTCCCATCCCTCTCTCCCACCCCCACATTTACATCTACATTCCCTTCAGCTACATTGAATCTCTCTGAAAGTAGTGGGTTTGCATGCTTTAAATATTCCTAATAACACTGTGTCCTTCCACTGGGGCATCTCCCTGTTATGATTTCATAATTCGTGCAAACAAGCCGAGTTAGCCCTTGGCTAGTCACAGTGTGGCCAGCAAGTGATGAGGTCCATACTTTGTAGTGGACCAGAGGGGGTGTTCCAGTCAGTGACTAATGCTGGCTGTGCACATCACAATCTCCTCCAGCTTTAACATCACGAAGCTAAGTACTTGTGGAGGAGACAGGGGCACCCCTAATCCTCTTTCTACTCCTTGCTGACATTCAAACGCCTTTTCTCTCTGGACTTTTGTAAGGGAGCTGTGCTTTGTAACAGTGCAAGACTGAGGCTCTTGAACAAGGCTAGTGGATTGGGACATTTGGCTATCTGCAGGTGTACAATAGGTGAGTATTAAGCAACTTAGAATGGCATTAATCATTCATTGTAATATAATAATAATAATAATAATAATAATAATAATAATAATACAATAGTATAATAATATTATAATGTATCTTTATATGTGTGTCCTGATCTATTATGTTTATTGTTTAGTCATCTGTGTATTATACTAAACGTGATTATTTTGTGTTTTTTATTCTATTAGCCATTTGTCTTGTGGCTCCTGGGCATCAGGGAGGTATATGCTTCAATATATGGAAACCTGTTACTCCTTCCTAACTACCTTATTATTGAGAGAGCCACAGATGCAGTATAAGGTGTCTCTATAATACTGAAACCCTTTAATCTTGATGACCAATAGGCTTGTTTTTGGAAAGATAAACCTAACGAGAAACGAATCTTTTTAATTGAATGAGCTCCCTTTAGGGGGAAACTGTAAAAATAATGAACCTAGTTAATGTCATTGTTTGAAAATACTGATACATTAATGGATAGAATAATGGCCGTTGGAATCCTGATTTACATTCTAACCAAATATTTATTTAACTATTTTAATGTTCACTGTTCGTTCTATCTCATCATAAATTGTTTGTATTCTGTATAAGAAAAATAAAATAAAAAATTATTGTTTAATATATAAAATCGACCTGCATGGATCTGCTTTTGTTTAGATGAGATTTAGTTTAATGCACCCCCTTTTCTATTTTAAATCTGTGATTATAGGACCCCAGTTTTTTTTAATCCATTTGCCTCCTTATTCTGGATTTTAATGTATGTGAGATCAGACTGACACTAGCCATTATGGAAGTGTTCATAGCCCATTGATATAATTACTATTGAAGTCATGGTCTACTGAGTTAGTCTATAACACAGGGCAGCCAATGCTTTGACACAAGCAAGGATATAATTTCTCTCAAACCATCTCAAGCTGAGCCCCTTCTTTCAGTGCTTTGTAGAATAGCCAGCAAGCCCCTCTCCTTTCTGACAAGCTACAGTTCTGTTCTGCTGTGACTCCATGCCTAATTCTAAAACTGGATCCAATCTACTGCTATCATGTTATAATGTATCATTTCAGTGCTTGGGACCCATTGGCATGTCCTCTGCCCTGCTCTAAAAGCAAACTCCTTCTTTATTCAAGGTGGACCCTCACACTGACCTCTTAGAAAGAGGAAAAAAGATTTTAGTAATTTGCCAAGAACATCAATCAAAAGGATTTTGTCACTTTAGAGATGGCATCGTCTTCACCATCTTCATCAAATACCAACCAAGACAACACCAACCCAAGCAATTTACGACCTACAAGTATGATTACATTTACATTTTATGTGATACAAAAAAATTATATCAAATATTGTATTTGTTATTGTTTAAATTGTTTTTAAAAATGGATAGATATTGAGTTGTGATTGTTTTTATTACATATTATTTATTATATTAAAGATATTTTGTAACTCATGAATTAAAATGCAAATGGAGTGTTGGTGATGATGTGTGTGTATGTTGACCTCTGTATCCGTATTATTCTACAAAACTGGCTTTTAAAAGTTTAAGTCAGCTGGAGGGTGCATCCTGTACATAATCAGAAAATAATCCTAGATTCGCAAGAGATTTGAAATAAAAGTGAAAACCCACTATTTGATTGGGTATTTCAAAAAGCCTCAATTTGGTTTAGTTTTGTCAGAAGCTTTTAGGCTGTCTTTCCATGCCCTCTAATCAAGCCTCATTTTGAGTATAATTGCAGTAATTTAGGGAGAAATTACTCTGCTCCGATGTCTGGTATTGTGTGGTGGGAATGGGGGTTGGGGAAGATGTTTTGTCTGTTGCCAAATCTTCCTGGTCAAAATTTTATGGAGCTGGGGAACAAAATAAAATAAATAAATAAAAAGAGAGGGGAGTAAATGACATAATGAACAGAGACAAAGATGTAAAAACCAGGGGAAAATGCTGGCAGCTATAGCTACCCTGGAAGAGCTGAGAGAGCTTTGATGCATGAATGAAATTATTATTGTGATTATGTTGGAATGGGAGTAAATGGGAAGGAGATTCAGAATTCACTTCAACATGAACTGATTTATGTGCCCTTCCCAAACATCATGTCTGATTGTGTCTGAACGCATCAGGGCTGCCCTGGGTTTAATGCCGAATTTAGGTCAAGCATTTGCAAATAGTGAATCCATCACTTGTGTAACCATTTATCCCATAGGCGTTTGCAATTCTATGTTTTAAACATTGCATTGCCTAACAGATACATTTAATCATTGTTTCTTAGACTCATAAATGACATGGACAAACAAAGGTTACAAAGAGTTAATTTTCTATGAGGTTGGTGCCTAACTGATCTCTTTTGTCAAAATCAGGGGTGGGCAAAGGCATCATAAGATTTGTAGTTCTTCATCTGCTGGGGGTCTTGCTTTTACTCTAAGCCCCCAGTGAAGTGGGCAGGTAGTGGTGTTTTCCTTGATGCTGTGTGTGTGTGTTGAGGTGTGTGTGTGTGTATGTGTGTGAGCCCTCTTACAGACACATAAAAGGCCAGTTATCTAGTCTGCAGCCCTCTCCCCCTAGACTGCTCATGTGATCCAGGCACCCTCCCCTCACACCAATCCCCCTCACCTCCCCACACACCTGCTTGGTTCTATTTCCATTCTCTTTATGTTACAATTATCTCCATTTGGACAGCTGTAGGGACAGTCAGTCAGTCTACCTGTGCTCCTTTGTGCTGGGGAGATTCAAACCTCCCCAATGTTTACTTGGTGAAGCTTCCATGCAGACATACATTGTTTTGTTCATTGAATCCCATAGTTTGATTATATTTACTTTGCATAGTCATATTTACCCCTGATCTTTCATCTAACAAAAGGTAAATATTGTTTTGAATTCAAATAAAATAATTAATAAATACATAAATAAACAAACATCGAACGCCAGGTTGTAACAGGAATTTGTATTTCTTATTTAAAGAGAAACATTAGATTTATCAAAGATAGAAAAAAACCATACTATAATAACATCGAATATATGATTGCTAATTAATTTTCTAATCCCATCACCGAATATTGATACATTGAGCCATATCGGTAGCGCACGCACTGTATACATCGCGAAGACGTTTAGGTCAGAAATGATTTCCTTAAAACTGTTAAAAAAAAAAAAAAATCCAGATAATGGCCATTCTGGAGAGATAACATATTATTATAAAAAGGTTTCCTTGTTTTCATTATTTGATTTTGATTGACGTTCACAAATACTTTAATTAAGTATTATAGTCACATTGTAACCATTCATTCTGCAAAAACGTAAGTCATTTGATATAAGATAAATATGTTATTACACTTCACAGACCCCACAGATTAATGAGGGGTTTGTTTTTCGTTTTACAAGGAATCAAATGCAATATATATAGAGGTATAAAATATATGCAATATCTATCTATCTATCTATCTATCCCTATCTATCTCTATCTCTCTATCTATCTGTCTGTCTGTCTGTCTCTCTCTCTCTATCTATCTCTCTCTATCTCTCTCTCTCTATATCTCTCTCTATCTATCTCTATCTATCTATCTGTCTCTCTCTCTCTCTCTCTCTCTATCTTTCTCTCTCTCTCTCTATCTTTCTCTCTCTCTCTCTCTATCTCTCTCTCTCTGTCTCTGTCTCTCTCTCTCTCTCTATCTCTCTCTCTCTGTCTCTCTCTCTCTCTCTCTTTCTCTCTCTCTATCTATCTATCTCTTTAGCGCACAGACCATGTATGTGTGCAGATACATTGTATAATATGTTTATGGGGTATTTGGAGATATATGGGGTGATTCTAATATAAAAGAATACCTTAGAAGCTCTGCCAGAAACCTGATAAATGAAAATCTATTTATTTCTGAGCCAGGAAGGATCTGTCACAATCGCTCAATTTACCGTATTATTAATACCTCTTTGTACTTGAACATACAAAGAAACATATAAAGACACATACATACATGCATACACACACACACGCATACACACACATACATAAATACACACACACACACACACACACACACACATACCTACATACATACACATAAATACACACACACAGATATATATATACATACTTACACACACACACACACACATACATACATACATACATACATACACACACACACACACACACACACACACACACACACACACACACACACACACACACACACACACACACACACACACACACACACACACACACTCATTTACATCATATATGTGAGTATGTATAAACAGACCCCTGCCAGGCTGGGACCTTGGGAGAGTTTTGATATAATCTGAGTAGAATACATGGTAAATTGGAAAGATAATGAAGTGCAGCGAACACAGAGAGAATCGATATAAAATCGGTCAGTTTAGATAATCTATCGTTTTGTATTTTCCAAAGACATGAATTTCATTAGAGGAGCAGAGAGTAGGGGGATTTGGGCAGTCTGGGTATTACATAGAGACGTTTGGTAAAGGGGGAAAATCTGCCTGATTCACAAATGTGATGAACTGGATGGATTGTTCTGGGTATTAAGGGTCTAAAGATATCTGGGTGCTACACCTTATACAAACACACCACTCTCAGCCAGCATCTATCACTCAAAGATTACATCACTCTCAGCCAGCACTCATCACTCAAAAACGACATCACTCAAAGACTACATCACTCTCAGCAAGCACTCATCACTCAAAGACTTCATCACATTCAGCTATCTGTCACTCCAAGACTAAATCACTCTCAGCCAGCATCCATCACTCTAAGACTGTACCACACTCAGCCAGCATTCATCACTCAAAGACTACATCACTCTCAGCCTGCACTCATCACTCAAACACTACACCACGCTTTGCCAGCATCCATCACTAAAATATTACACCATACTCAGCCAGCACTCATCACTCAAAGACTACATCACTTTCAGCTATATATCACTCCAAGACTACATCACTCTCAGCCTGGACTCATCACTCAAAGACTACACCACATTCAGCTATCTATCACTCCATGACTTCATCACTCGCAGCCAGCACTCATCACTCAAATACTACACCACACTTTGCCAGCATCCATAAATCAAAGACTGCACCACACTCAGCCAGCATCTATCACTCAAGGACTATACCACACTCAGCCAGCATCTATCACTCAATGACTATACCACACTCAGGCAGAATTCATCACTCCAACATTACACTAAACTCAACAAGCATCCATCACTAAAATACTACACCACACTCAGTCAGCATCCATCACTCCAAGACGGTATCACACTCAGCCAGCATCCACCACCCCATGGCTACACCACACTCAGCCAGCATCCATCACTCCAAGACTGTGCCACACTCAGCCAGCATCCATCACTCCAAGACTGCACCACACTCAGCCAGCATCCATCACCCCATGGCTACACCACAACCTGCCTGCATCCATAATCCCCATGCCTACCCCACACTGTGCCAGCTTTTAACACCCTATGGCTATACCTCACTCTACCAGCATAAACCACCCATGGCTACACCACACTGTGCCAGCATCCATCTTCTCGTAGCTAGGTAGCTGGAGACAGAGGGGTAGGCTGAGGGGAAAGGAGTCTGAGCGAGACAGCACAACAGGGAATAAGAGAGTGCAGGAATAGATGGTGAAAGAGGGAACAAAAAAGTCAAGCGAAAAAGAGTGATAGAGAGGAGAGGGCATTATATGATAAAAAGAGGGGTGTGAATAGGGGGGAAGGGGAGATAACTTGGAGAAAGTGGAGGAGTGGAAGGAGGAGACGTGGAGGGTAAAATTATTTAGATGGAGAGGATGGAAAAGGATGAGAGAGAGAGGGGGGGGAGAGAGAGAGAGTGAGAGAGAGTGAGAGAGAGAGAGTGTGTGTGTCCAGCTACCTTACATGTCTGTGTGGCCTGGTAGTGAAAGAGTTACCTTGGGGTATACTGTTATAGTATGTGGGGCTCTACCCCCAGCCCTTAATTCACTGGAAGGGTCCAGAACAGGCTGGTTACATTATAGTCAAATAGCATTTGGTATCAGTGGCTCCATGTTATGGCAGATTACCTGCTTGTCCTGTACACGTGATAACACTCAATCACATTCAGAATGTGTCCGACATATTAACTACAACTCTTATAATGCTAAACCAGCCAAATGATTGGGAAATGGGGGGATTGTAGAGCACAGCAGCTATGCTGCCATAAATCAGATGTAGGAACCCACAGATAATGTGATACATGTCATCAGGACCGATTAGCAATGTGGGTAGAAAGGCATGGGGTTCCTTGGCCTTGTGCCCAGCACACTGGTGTCTCCTGGCATACATACAGGTGGGTCCATATTGCTGCAGGCCTATATATATATATATATATATATATATATATATATATATATATATATATATATATATATATATATATATATATATATATATATATATATATATACATATATGTATGTGTGTGTGTGTGTGTGTGTGTGTGTGTGTGTGTGTGTGTGTGTAATAATATATATCTTTCCTGTGCTTAGCCAGCCCGTATAGAATATTATATGTGTATGCACTAAACGGCGAAATGCAGTGAAATGCAGTAAATTAAAATTAAATTGTAAAAGTCAGGGGTTAAAAAAGTTCAGGTTTGTAAAAAAAAAATACAAACAAAAAACCCCACAAATTTGCAACTCGTAAATTTAGCAATTTAGCCTTTTGCCAGTCTTATCAGGTTCCAAATAAATCAGTTCTCCAAACCTCTGTCTGAGCAAATATTTCCCAAAAGATTCTAAGTGGTATATTCGCTAAACAGTGATTGATAATCACATTACACATTCACATTAATATCTGAGATTAAAAAGAAAAATGTTCAACTTAGCCAAATTTCATCATTTTATAAATCATGACCTCAGTGGGGAAAACTGAAGAAACCTTTTATCAAAATAGTACAATTTACTGTTTAGTGAACGGATCCTTAGATCAGAAGAATATATTGTCACAAAATACTTACCCAGGACAGACAGC